CAGACAGACACACAGACAGACAGATAGATAGACAGACACACAGACAGACACAAACACACACAGACAGACAGATAGATAGATAAACAGACAGATAGATAGATTTAAAAAAATATATTTTAAAGAGTTGCATAGCGAATAAATAAAAAAGAAATACAGAGTGAAAGCAACAGAGTGCGAAATCAGTGATTATTTAATTTAATAAAAAGTAGTGGACAACAGCAAAGTCTTCAGAAAGTGATTTAAAACAACCAAGAGTTGCAGTAGTCCAACTATGTGCAGTTTATTTTGTTAAATCTTATTTGAAATCTAGATGAGGAAAAAAATCATCTGTGTGTGACCCCTTTGGTAAACAGATACATTCCTGTTGTATATTTTATAAAATGATTTGCCCTTATCATCATTCCACCCTCTAATATTATGTCTTCAAGTACAGTTTTTATATACAGCGTAAGAGGCTTGAAGTAGCAGATGAGCTGATGCTGCCTTTGCAGGCTTTTATACTGAAAGTCCAAAAGTACTTTATACTGCTGGGTGTGAGCTTTGTTTGGCAATTTGAAAGTGAGCCTAAAGCTACAGCAAAATCCCAAATACCTTTTCTGATGCAAACATCTGATGTGATGCAACAAACAGAAACTCGTGTGAGATCCCTCTCATCTGTTTTCAAAACATAATTTGCTCCCCAAAGATGTGGAGCATCAGAACATGCTGCTCAATTTAAAGCCAAACAGTATGAAACATTTGTGTCCCCCCTGTCAGTGAAACTTGTGAATTATAGGAGAGTATATGCTCTGTCATATTAACAGTGGAGTGCATGAAATCAGAGACGACTCATGTTGGATGATATCTGAAAGCTCTTCCATAGTTGACGTTGTAAATTAGCAATCATGTCTGATTCTGCGTTTTGAGGATGATTACGTTTAGGAAACTAATGATGGATATATCTTACAAAAGCCACAAGTACTAACCTTTCCACTGGCTTTGTGCTTCCAGACAGATTTAAGGAAGTCAATCCTTCTTAAAACCTCAGCACCGGAGTCTGGTGACACGTGTAGCCTGAAGAACTGTTATAACTTTAACCCTATCGGTCGCAATTTTGATTGACAATTTGTTAAGAACATATTCTGGACAATGGCAATCAGACAGCAGATATCATGCGTTACATTCCAAGCATGAATTGTTAACATGATTAGCATGATTCTGAATAATTCTATTATTAGTATGTCAAGCTGTAAAAAAGCTGGAAATACTGACAACTTCATGGAGGTCTGCATAAGTAGGCCTTGAATGCGAAAGATGACTTCTAACATGCACATTTTGAATTAAAAATGCATTTTAAAGCAAAACTTGAAGCCAAAGTCATCGTCGAAACCTTCAGCTATGAAATCAAATTTGAATGTCTTTGACTCCAACCTCTTGAAATCTTGTTATCTTCAAAAAACCTTTAGTTCTCGAGTCCCTGAAAGGCTGTCCACATGGCTGCCAGCAGTGTGTTCATACTCTTTATCTAGCCAAACACAAGCCTCGCTGTTCCTTCATAATCCTCTCAGACAATGAGAGATCTACCCTTCCAAATCGGGTGAAAGAATTGCCACAGGGATATACATTCAGAAACCCCGGCCAAATAATAGCAACTCAAAACGGTTTTGTATTGACAATGACATTGATCTCTGCTTTTTAAAGAGACCATCGGCAGAATGATAAAAGCCATCTAGTGAGAATGTTTCTTCTACTTGTATTGTGTGGGATTTCTTACCATTGTCATATATAGCATGAATGAATAAAACACAAACAATTTATAAGGATAGAGTAGTGTGTTTAAAATGAGCCTCAATGATAATAAGACTAATTTTTCTAAATAAAGCACTTGTCTTGATATTACTCTATTTATATACTCAGAGTTATGTAGAACTTAATTGAACAGCAATGTCTGATATATAGACTGAATCTCAATTGTATCACAAAAAAGTCATTTCACTGCAGTTGTGCCAGAATCAACATATTTCAACCATATATCAAAGTCCAGCATGGAATGCAGTCAATTAAATATGGCAGGCTGTCAATTTCTTCTATGAAACGACCACCACTGATTGAAGAAATTATCCAGGATTAATTTAGACATTTTTTGGCCTCAGACATCTTCTCAAAGCCGACTCATGAGACGAAGGATCACAATTTAACTCAAAGGCTCTGACTCAGTTAGAGAGATGTTAACCTCACAATGAAGCTTTATTACTGGATGGGTCCTTCTCAACTGCTGGAGCTTCTGGGTAAGAGCTGCTATAAATCTTTTCAAACATGTATATGGCTAGTATGTGCTGTTTCATTATTTTAGTGTGCATATACTGCCATCTTCTGGTATCAATTTAAACCACCATCACTGCATTTGAAGCCTGTATTATTTTTTTCCTGATAACAAAAATGACTGATATCATTCTTTAACACTGTTGTTTGTCCCTTACAAATGAATTTACATGACAGATGTGCTTTTATAAATGATTGACAAATCTACCTTCAATAATAGAAAGAATGGAAATTGTAATCGTGGCTTTGTAATCGTAACATACTGATAAGACATAATATCACCTAGATTAAGTGTGTGGAAATGACATTTAAATTCAGACAAAATATGCTATCGCATCCCTACATTTGAATAAAGACAAACTGTATCCAGGAAGGTTCAGTTGATTACATTTGAGACAAAAGTTTTCAAATTCAGTTTTTCAGTGCTTTACATTATTCTCAGTTGTATGGAAGTCACAATGGAATGTCATTACATTTCATTTATTTATTTATTTGACAGGAACAATGCTCATTAATCAAGAGCAAAATTATTGTGAATGAGCCAGAATAAGCTCAACAGGCTAATTCAGATACTGCATTTAAAACCTACACACAAACATCTCTAACTTTATGTACAAATCCATGCAATGCTTAGGGTGAGTAAGAAATGATGTAACTTGGATAAACTGAATGTTAAATAACTGTAGTTTTATACCCACTGCACCTCACTGCTATCCATACAGATATGAAAAAGAAGACTGTAAAAACACAAAAGAGTTGCCCCTAACAAAGCAAAGGGATGACTAACTAAACAGTTATTTCTATCACACTGACATTTCTGCAACAGCTGTCCAGTCAGAGAAGGCCAGGCACTCAAGCTTGTCTCTAGGGTGCATTTTTGCACTCGAATGCGTCTAAGGTTTACTGGTGGAGCGAGGGCTGGCTGCAGATGGGCCTTTAAAACCACTCATCTTGATGGCCCACTTGGACTTCTTGTCCCCGAACTATACCAAACATGTGTGGCTTAATGCTGGGGTCAGAATTGGAAGCTGTGAAGGCATTGAACTTGGTTGGGATGGCCTCCTGAACACATAATAAAAATGTACGTTTTTGAACATAGGAAGAGAGGGAGAATATGCCTTGTACGTTTGAGGGTTTTCCACGAAATTTAAGAGAAGACTGTATTGGAAATTTGTCTTTTGTGTATGTATAATTGTATGAGCAGACGTGTATGTGGAGGACTGACCAAATGATTTATGTTAAAGGTCAACTTTAGGGTTTATGATGGATTAAGAGACTTTGAATTATGGCCTTGAGAAACCACAACTTTATGTTTTCTAATGTTATCTCTGGTTGGGATCTCACACCTGGGGTCTCACTTGGGGAGTCTTCCACAGAACATGTAAACACATAAAATCAGGGTTTTTCTCCTCCGGTGAGTGAAAACTATAGGAGGGTAATAAATACCTTTGCATGCTTAGTGGAAGGGGGCTGTGAGTTATCAGAACACAGATTCTCTTATGTTCTTTGCTCATTTGTGCATGTCAATTCAGGTGATGTGTCCATCTGCAGATACTGAATTAAACTTACACAAAGAAGTTTTTGACTTTGTGCTTGTTTCACAGAAATTGCCACAACAAGACGAAGACTTAAATTTCTTCCACATTAGCCAAATATGAATATGAATGTAATACAGGGGATTAAAACTTCCCCAACATAATCTTCTGTGAATAAAAGAACAGTACAGTGAGACCAACTACCTGCTCTCTTAATTCATAAGTACACAATTTACCCATGAGCACACAGAATGATAATGGTGGTTGTGCATTTTGATGATAATACGACTACTAATGATGAGGAAGGCATTGGCAGAT